CAAACACTGCTCATCTTTGGGCTGAGTTCAGCTCGTGGGCCATTGGTCCACAACCTCTGGTCTATAAAATGTCCAGGGCTGTTCTAGGCACCATGGGAGATATTTGAGGTTAGAAAGCATTTCAAGGGCCTGTCTTACTTGGAGGACCACCCAGAGCTTGACACAGAGTACCAGATCCTGGCTCCCTCTCTGAATCCCCAAGCATTTGCATGTGAGCCCCCATTTCTAAAGAAGGCAACCTCAGTTCAGTAAGCAAGGCACAGTGACAGGGCTTTCTGGCAGCCCTTGTGGCACGACCAAGGGGAGCTGTGGAAAAACCCACGTCACCCTTAATTTTTCTGCCTTGTCCAGTGCTAGGTTTTAGGGCCAGTGCCCCAAAGGTCACACTGCTGAATGCTGGCTAAATTAGAGTGTGCCCACAGGGTGTCCTGAGACCGAACCCTGTCCTGCAGAGATCTGAGTACAGCTGCAGCTCTCAAATCAGCCCACCTCCCCAGAGCAGGCCTGCGAGGATACAGTAATAACATCATTCACCGCCTCTTGGTTCTCTTGACAGTTCTAAAGCATCTGGCTGGATCTCGTGGCCTTCCCCCTCAGACTCCCCCGTGTCTCTGCGAAGGCGTCCTGGAGTTACTCCCCAGAGCAGCGGTGGCGACGGCGGCAGCAGCAGCGGAGGGGAGCTGGGTGTCGGGGTGGGCATTAGATGTGGGAGGGGGGGGTGTGCTTGCTAGCTGGGCAGCAAAGCAGCAGTGGACCTGCCCCAAGGCCACATGTGCCTGGTCAGGCTGGCTTCTGATGTTCAGTCCCCTGGGCCGGGACAGATTTTTTTTTAACGTCTTGAAACTTAAAACTCTGTGCTTGTAGGAGACTATAACCTTTTTGTCTTTTTTTTTTTTTTTAAACAAACAACCTCCACCTCCAGTGGCTGTGACTGGTCCCAGTGATTGTACCTTATTGGTCGCTGTGGGTCTGGGCGGGCCTGGAGCCAGAAGGCGACTACTGTTCCTCCCTGGAGCCACCACAGGTGGGGAGGGAGGGAGGTTTCAGACTCCAGTTCCTCTCCCTCGTTCTCTTATTTCCTTGAGCCAATAGAAGCGGTGGAGACCCTCTGCCAGCTTCCTGAGCTCTGCCTGAAGATGGCCACCCAGCACTGGTTGGGGACAAGGGCTGAACTGGTGGCCACCAGCCACACCTAGGAGCTGGGGCCTGAAAGCTAGGCAACCTCTGGCCGCAGGGGCCTCTTCGTGCCCTCCCAGCTGAGAGGGGCCGCTGTTTCGCCTTGTCTGTCAGTGCAGTGCCTGTGCTAGAGGTGGAGAGGTGAGTCCTCCAGAGCTTCCCGGCTGGGGCCTCCTGCCTGCTCTGGCTCCTCTGCTCCCACGCTCGCTGTACCTTTTCTTATTCTGGTGGATCCTCCCTCCCCTAATTAAAGTCTCTTTTTGCCCCTCTGGGGGTGCATGAGGTCTGTGCTCTCTGTGTATACCTGAAAAGCTGGGAGGTGAGGCTTTTTCTTCCCTAAGACCATCTGGCACTTGGGCCTGGGGGTCCCCACCAGAGACAGTTTCGTGATTGGCCCCTGGCGTTAGTCCTGCCGAGGGCCCTAACCCAAGAGACCTCTATTGCAGTCCAGGCTCCACCCATTTCTGAAACTGCTCTCTCTGCCTATATAGAGCTTTGGTTCTTTTCATGTAATGAGCTCATTTGGGCTAGAAGGTAACCTCAGAGAAATAATGATCCCATTTCATGGCTAAGGAAACTGAGGTTCCATGAGATGCAGCAGTCTGCCCCGAATCTCCCAGCTAGTGAGCAAGAGGGTAGAGTTCAAATCCAAGCTTTCTGCCTTTACCTGTGCTGACAGTAATCACTAGCCACGTGTGTCTAATTGTTACAGTTAAAAAAGTTTAAAATCTACTGTCTCAGTCCTACCAGTGCTCAATAGCTACAAGTTGCTGATGCCTGCCGGGTCACAGGGTATGTAAATAGAACATTTCCATCATTGCAGAAAGTTCTCTTGGACAGCACTAAGCCTTAGTGATACCTTGAAGTTAAAAAAAAAATGTCTTGAGTCCTGATTCTTACTGATGAATTTGAGCGAGTTATTTATAGTCTGTGCTTCAGTTTCTTAAAGTGGAGATAATGTAAATCTGACACAGTACCTGCCGTACAGGTACTGAATAAATAGTAACTGATCTTTCCACCAGCCCAGCATCCAAGCTGTTTGGTAACTTCCATTGTGCTGGATGTGGGGGATGACATCATCCCTGTCTCAGGGAGACTTGGGGGGCCAGTAAAATGCCTGGGTGTGTGAATAGGTGCGTTGAAGCATTTCAGATTCACTACTGGAAGTCTGGGGGCGCCCACAGGGGGTGTTTTTATGGAAGAGGATGTCAGGAAAAGTTTCAGAAGGGTTGGCCTTTGAGCTGAGTTTTCAAGAGTTTCTTCCATGTGGCCAAAAGGGGGTCTCTTGAAACAGGACAAGGTACTGTTAAAGGATGGAGGGGCTGGGGGTGGGGGCAGCTTGGACAGCTGTCATCCCCTTTATGACATTACCTCTGTGACTCTCCCCCTCCTGCCTTGCAGAATTAGGTGTGCCCTTCTCTGGGGCATATGGCTGTATCCTAGCTTTGCAGTGAATGTTGCTTTCAAGAAGGTGCTCATGGTGAAGGTGGATGTCCAATAGAGTATGGTAGCTGCTCACTCAGCCCTCACAGGACAGCATTGCCTGGGTGAGCCAACTAGAACTCTCATTTGTCACAGATCCATCTCTCAGGGTTCAGAGCCCCTAGAACCAAATTTGCTGCTGGTGAGTACAGACCGGACGGTTGCCAATCAGCCGGTCCTCTCCTGACGGCATGCCTTTTGGGAAGCCCAGTCACCAGCCACAGGGTTGGGAAGAGTGATTTCAGTGGTTAGGGTTGGCTGGACAGCTCTGTGGAGGACCCACCGTCACTGTATGAGCAGATCTACCAGTGAATAAAAAAGCTGCGTTCGTGGACTTTGCTTGAGTGGGCATTGCTACAGTTTGCCTCGCAGACTGTCCATTTGGTACTTGCATTACTGGTAGGCAACCCTCTGAGTGATGACATGGACTTGTGTTTAATAGCATTTCTTTTTGTGTGTGTGTGTGTGTGTGTGTGTGTGTGTGTGTGGTACGTGGGCCTCTCACTGTTGTGGCCTCTCTCGTTGTGGAGCACGGGCTCCGGACGCGCAGGCACAGCGGCCATGGCTCACAGGCCCAGCCGCTCCGTGGCATGTGGGATCTTCCCGGACCGGGGCACGAACCCGTGTCCCCTGCATCGGTAGGCAGACTCTCAACCACTGCGCCACCAGGGAAGCCCTAATAGCAATTCTGTTTCAGAGTGGGGCTCTGGAGTCGGATCTGGGTTCCAATGCTGCCTCTGCTGTGCGATTTAAGGCAAATTATTTAACGTCTTGGAGCCTTATTTATCTCACCTGTGACATTTGAGGTTAACACTTTCCTACTACTTCCAAAAAGGTTGCTTACAGTCTTGTCTTGAGGGCTGTTGCATAACTTGTTTTTTTCCCGCAGTCGACTCAAACAATGATACTTTATTTCCGAGGGGTTTTTTTTTGGGGGGGGGGCGGGGTGTGTTCTGCACTTCATTATTTTCCCCATAATACTGCCCTGGCTTTCAAATCTACCCCCAAGGACCTTACCCTAGCTCCATCTGCCAGGTCCTGCAGATCTGATCAGGTCTCACCAGGACACTGGCTTCCTTTTAGTTCCCCAGGAAGGTTCTTACTCTCTCAGGGCTGTTGCTGAGAATTTCCTCTCCCTGGAATGCTATCCCTCCCCTGGCAAACTCCTCAACACCTTTGCATTCTGTAGGCTTCAGCTTAAATGTCATCTCTTAAGAGAGGACATCCTTGATTACCTTATATAAAGTGTGCCCCCTTCCTAGTTTCAGTTCATTGCTTGTTCATTGCCCTTATCATACCTACACCTGTTTTATTCCTGTGTTGCTTGCTTTTTGTTTGTTTCCCCTTCACTTGGCTGTAAGCTCCGTGAAATCAGGGACCATCCCTAGGTTGTTCTTCCGGTCCCCAGCACCTAGCTCACCACGTAGCATGTGGTCCCCTATGAATACTGCGGAATAACTGAAGCCCCAGGAAGCTCTGGATAAAGAATCAGGACTCTGTTAGAAACTGGCGGACCAGTGAGTGCTCTGCGCTTCCAACTCCAGCTCCCTGTTCATTAAGGGTCTGGGGCAGGTGAGGCTCGGAGTTTGGCCTGCTGGAAGTAGTCCCACCGAACCAGCCCCCCGAGGCCTGATTGTGCCGGGTGAATGGTTTCTAAGGCGACAAAAGACAGAGGGCGGGGCCTCAGAACGGAGGGCCCAGCTCGGGCACCGAAGGGCCCTCCTGCGAGACGCGGCTGCGCGCGGACGGGAGGCGGGCTCTGGGGCCCTGGGAACGCGCGCGCGCGCGCGCGCGGCGAGGGGTGCACGCACGGCCCCGACGCGGCGCTGCTCCTGAGGGCGGAGGAGGTGGGGGCTGTACCTCGCGGCTCCACCGCCTGGTACCGCCAGGACGCGGGTCCCGTGTGCAGCTGGCCGCGAAAGCCGCTGCCGCCCGAGCCCCTCACCAGTCCCCCCGCCCCATGGCCCTGGGCGCGCCACTCCGAGTTCCAGCTTCCAGAGGAGGCTCCGGCAGGCGGCCAACGCTGGGCAGGCAGCCCAGCCTCGGCGCTCCGCCTAGGCTGCGACCTCGAGTCCTCGGCCCACGGCAGCCACGCCCAGGGAGCCGCGGATCCCTGCCCGCCCTGGGCCCTCGCCCACCCCGGCCCAGGAGGACGACCCGCCGCAGGACGGTGAGGCCCTTTGCGGCCCGCCCCTCCTGGCCCGAGGCAGTTGGGGCCAGGACCAGAAGACTGGGGGCGGACGTGGGGATCCGGAGAAGAGCTGTAGAGGATGAGCATCCGGATGAAGAGTGGAGAGAGAGGAGGGGTGCCAACCCCAGCCCCACTGCGCATCTTTCTGCAGGTTCTCTTGTCCTTTGGCGAGGATTCTCCAAGGCGTCTCAACACATGGGCCGGCTCAGAAACGCCAAGATCCACGTGGAGAGAGCTATCAAGGTCGGAGGGAGCTTGGGGGTCTAGAAAGGGCCTGGAGAGTGGCTCATCCTGCCTCCCTGCACTATTTTCTCCCATCCTTAGAAAACATACAAGAAAAAAATCCTTGATCCCTTGATCCACACCCATCTTCAAATACTTCCCCATTTTTCAATACCCCCTTCACAGCCAGACTTCTTGGCAGAATTGTCTACTTCACCTGGGATTCACTCCTCAGCTCCCACCACTCTGGTTCCCTGCCCTTCCCCACTCCCATCGGGAACCACTCTAGTCAAGGTCACTGGTGACCTCCAAGGAGCCAGATCCAGCAGTCAGTCCCTCTTCTGTCCTGACCTTGGTTCGGCACCTTAGGCACCGACCCCCCACACGTACCTTCCCTTTTGGCTGTCTGCACACTCCTAGTTCTCCTTTCTCCCTCCCTGGCAGCTACTTTTCAGTTGCCTTTGAAGACTTCTTGGGACACTCCTGGTTCCCTGGGTCCCTCTCCACACCTGTCTCCTTGGCCGTGAGTCCAGTCAGTGTGCTGTGCCCCCTCCATGCCCTTTCCAGCCCAGCCTGTCCTCTAACTGCACGCTCCAGAGATCCAGCCCCCCACTTGACATCGCCCAGGGAACGTCAAAGCATTTCAGACCCATGTCCCAAACCATACTCTTGATTTTCCTGCCCAAACCTGTTCTCCTCCCTACTCTCTGATCTCCTCCATCTCCCAGTTGTTCAAGCCAGAAATCTGATCTTTCTGTTCCCTCACCCACACATCTAATCCCATCAGCAAAACTAGTCTCTATTTCCAAAACGAATCTCACCTCTATTGCCTTGTTCCCATCCATCTCCACTGTAAGAACCTGCAGAAACAACAACAGCCTTCTGCCTCGTCTCCCTGCTTCCATCCTTGTCCCCTCCATCTGTTTTCCGTACGACAGCAAGCCAGCAAGCCACACTTACAGCCTCCAACTATGTCACTCCCTCCCTTCACTTTATTGCTTCATGCTACTCTTAATATAAAATTCAAGTTCGTTCCAAGGCCTGCAGGACCTTCCACAGTCTACTTCTACCTCTCAGGAGGTCTCCCCCTCATTTTCCACACTCCATTCACCCTGACTTCCTTCCAGTTCCTCCCAACCTCTCCAGCCTCAAGACCTTTGCACATGCTTTTCCCTCTGCCTGAACTGCCATTTGCCCGGCTCTGCACATTCCTGGCTCCTTCTCAGCCTCCCCTGACTGTTTCTCTGGGTCCCCATTAAGATCCAGTTTCTCGAGCTCCCCAGCCTGGATGTAAATTCCTGCTCTTTCACTTAACCACTGTGTGGCCAAGCTACTCAATCTCTCTATGTCTCTGTTTCATAACCAGTTAAGTGGTGATAATAGTATCTATTAAAAATACATATCATTGTTAGTAATGTATATAAGTGATTAACACATAGAAGGTGCTCAGTAAATATTAGCAAATAAATATAGTTACTCTTGTGATGATTATTATGCAGATTATTTTTCTATTTATTTATAGCCTGTCTCTTCTACTGGAATATAAAAATTTCCTGAAGGCAGAGGCCATAGCTGTCTGGTTCACCGTTATATCCCCTGTGACAGGCACTTAGGCTATACTTACTGAACAAGCATTCTTCTGTCACCTTGCAGCAGAAGAAGATTTTCATGATCCAAGGCTGCTACCCTGTGATCCGGTGGCTTTTGCGCCGGAGGGGCTGGGTGGAGAAGAAGATGGTCCATCACTTGGGTACCACGCTGCCACCACCACACAAGGATCTGGGTGACAGTGACACCACTGAGGATGGTGAGCAATCCCTCCCTTTCCCCAAACTTCCTGAGTCCCATCCCTTTGGTTCCCGCTGTCCCAGGGTTGAGGCTGTGATATGGGCCTGTGGGGTGGGGACAGGGGCCTTACCAGGCCTGGTCTCTGCATCCACAGAGGACGAAGATGAGGATGAAGCATTCCGGCTACCACAGCTGTTCGACTTCGATGATTTACTGGAATTTGATGACCTGCATGGGACGCATGCTCTGATGGTGAGGGCCCAGGGGGCTGGACAGGGGTCTGCTTCGTTTGAGGGAGAGCACTAGAGTCCAGCTGGGTGACCCCAGACAAGTCCTTTCCTTCTCTGGGCCTCAGTTTCCCTATCTGTGATAAAAACGGATTGGTTCTCTAAAGCCTAGGTAGGCCAGCGGAGTGGTGAGGGACACAGACAAGGCTGGCCTGGGTTCAGAACTGTTTGTTGCTAGGTTGTTATCAGAAGCCGGCACAACCTGCACGCCTGGTAATTTCCGCCTTCCAAATAAAAACCCCATAGTTCATCTTCCCCCGTCCCCAGCAAGGGAAGGCTAGCAGGAAGGGCTTAAAACGTTTTGAAAGAGACTGGTATGATGTTGTGGAGGGTGTGTGTGCTGAGATGGGGACACTTGGCTTTCAATCTTGGCACCACCACTTACTGAGCTGAACTAGACCAAACTGCCGTTTTCATCTGTCAGGCGAGGTTGAGGACTGCCACTTCCATATGGCCCAACCTTGTGAGCCCTTGGACAAGTCCCTGTGCCTCAGTTCCCTCATCTGTGAAATGGAGATAATGGTAGCACCTACCTCATAGGGTCGTAGTGAGGATTAAATGAGTTGACATGGCAAGCTTAGAACAGGGCCTGGCACATGGTGTTACAGGTTATCAATAGTCCTACCTCCCAGAGTTGCAGGAAGGACGGAGAGAGGTGGAGCCCACGAGAGAGCCTTTGTCACATGCAGTGTGCCCACCAGCTTGGAGGCACAGTTATGCCACTGAGCAAGTCACTCATGGCCAAGAGCCAGAACAAGGTGTGGCGTTCGGGTGTGGGGCTTAGTCACTGCCTGGGGGCACCTGGCCAAAGGAGCTGCGAGCTCACCTGCTCTCTGCTCACGCAGTGTGTGCCCCGGAGGAAGAGATGTCTTTTCTTAATGTACACAAAGATGGCATGCGGGCTAGAGGCCCCCTTGATAGCAACCTTTCCTTCCATTCTCCCACCTTGCTCAGCAGGGCGGGGAGAAGCCTCCTCGGGCCTTGTGCTGCCCACATTAGCCTCCCCTGTCTCCTCCCCTCCCCACAGTCGCGCATGGTTCGGAACGAGATCCCCTACTTCATCTGGACCACTCGGCGGAACATGCTGGACTGTCGCTTCCTCTCCAAGGATCAAATGATAAACCACTATGCCCAGGCGGGCTCCTTTACCACAAAGGTGGGTTCTCCAGGGCGCGGGCATGGCAGCTTCTAACCCCCCCACCCTTGGGCCGGCAACCTCACTCCCTGTTCTCCTCGTCAGTAAGAGTTTTCAGGAGATGGGGAGGTATATGACTCAGTGGGATTCGGACACGCCTGGGTTCAAATCTAACCCCTGCAGCATGTCTGCCTCATGTAGACATGATGCCTAACATAGATTCCAGGATCCAAATGGGATCTGGAGACAGAACAAACACCAAGTCCGGTGATAGTGAACAGGAGGACCCTTCTCTCCAAGCAGAGCATATCTGGCTGATGGATCCATTATATCTTAGCTGGGTTTATTAACAAGTGACTTTACCTCTCTGAGCCTCAGGTCCCTCATCTTTTTTTTTTTTAATTTATTTATTTTTGGCTGCTTTGGGTCTTCGTTGCTGTGCGGAGGCTTTCTCTATTTGGGGCGAGTGGGGCCTACTCTTTGTTGTGGTGCGCGGGCTTCTCATTGCGGTGGCTTCTCTCATTGCGGAGCACAGGCTCTAGGGGCGCTGGCTTCAGTAGTTGTGGCTCGCGGGCTTAGTTGCTCCACGGCATGTGGGATCTTCCCGGACCAGAGATTGAACCCGTGTCCCCTGCATTGGCAGGCGGATTCTTAAGCACTGCGCCACCAGGGAAGCCCAGGTTCCTCATCTTTAAATGAGAATACCAGTAAGACCTATCATCTAGGGTTATGGCAAGAATGATAGGCTTTATAACTGAGACCTGCTAGTATATTATTAGTGTAGACTGGGAGGATTCCTAGAGAAGGCAGGTATTTAAGGGTGTGAAAGAGTGGATGGGAAGGATGTGGGGCATACTCGGCGGAGGAACCACATGGGCAACACGGGGAGGTGGACATGAGTGGGTCAAGCCTAGCAAGTGGGGCAGAGGCCCTGAGCACGTCCAAGCAGGGTCCCCTTGAGCTGTCTGGGTGTGTGCCAAGTGTGGGGGCCCTTGGAGGCCCTCTGGGCCAGTGCCACCCTGCCCCCTCAGCGGCTAACTCCATAGGTGGGTCTGTGTCTCAATCTCCGGAATTTGCCGTGGTTTGACGAGGCCGATGCCGACTCCTTCTTCCCGCGCTGCTACCGCCTGGGGGCTGAGGATGACAAAAAGGCCTTCATAGGTAAGGAGATGCCAGCCCCATGCCTGGACCCTCAAGCCGAGGGATGAGCGCTAAAGCCCTGGCTGGTGTTGGAGAGCAAAGGGCCCCTCTCCTCATGCCCTCATCTACCCCAGCAGATATCCTTCTCCCTCCCCAATCCTTATCTTTCCCTAATGTACCTCCCTTAATGAGCCTCCTGCCTTGGTCAACCCAGACCTCCAGAAGAGCTGATGTAGCTTAGTTTACTTTCTAGAGCAGGTTCTAAAAGTTGGTCTCTTGGTTGAGTTTGGAATCCAGAATAAGTTCCAACCTTGTGTCAGATTCCACTGGTTAGACTGGGTTCCAAACCTAGAAAAGGCTCTAGACTTTGGGATTCTCAGGCAGAGTAGGCTCCGACTCCAGCACATGCCCTAAAGTCAGGTCAGAATTTGGATCCAGATTAGATGCTAGGTTTAAATTAGTCTCCAAATCTGATATAGATTCTGGGCCAAGGTCTGGTTCTCAGGCTAGATAAGGATCAAAAGTGGATCAGGACATTGTAAATCAACTATACATCAATTAAAAAATAAAATTTAAAAAAAATCACCAAAAGAAAAAAAAAAAGTGGATCAGGAACAGAAGAGAGAAAGCAGACAGCAGATCCAGGCATGATTCTGAAGGTAGAGTATGAGCCAAGTCAGGTGAGGTTCTGGGTCTGGTTCTACAGTTGAAACAGAAGCCAGGTTCTATTCCGGGTTCTAGAATCAGAAACAGTAGTCAGGTTCCGGATCCAAAATGGGGCAGGTCATGCTCAGGTTCCGGAACCAGAATAGGCCTGGAGCCTAGAGGCTGAGCAGGGTATCCCCTGCCCCGGGAGCAGAGGACTTCTGGCTGACAGCTGCCCGCAACGTTCTCAAGCTGGTGGTAAAGTCAGAATGGAAGTCATACTCTATCCAAGCAGAAGAGGCAGCGGCCCCAGGTAAGCACTGTGGTTACCTCCACCCCCCAGTCGCTTATCCTCCCACCCAGCCACACACCCATCCACTTGTTCATCCACGCATCTGTCTTTGTATTTTTCTCATCCATCTGCCCATCCACCACCCCTTCCTACCAGCCCATCCGTACATTTATCCACCCATCTGTCCACCCTTTGTCCATCCATCTGCCTACCTTCTTACCCACCTGACTCATGCACCTACCCATTCATCCATCCATTCATCTTCCCCCCCACTGTCGTTCTGTTCATTCACCTACTTCTCTCAGCTCCTCTCTCCCTATCCATCTAGCCACTCCACCTTCCTACCTATCTACCTATCTGTCCTTGTCTCCCCATCCATTTACCTCTTTTCCATCCAGCCATCCACCACCTATGTGTCCTCCGGCCCATCCACTCATCATTTTTCTGTCCCAAACACCTACCCAAGTGTCTTCCTATACATTTGTTAATTGACCCACTGCCTCATTCAGCCCTCCTATGGGCCTGGCATGTGGCCAAGCACTCTAGAGAGGACAGACTAAGAGGATGTGGTCCATCCCTGCCCTGTGGGGAGCTCAGGTCTGTGAGGAGAGGAAGCTGTGCAACCATGTAGTTTCACTTGGTCTGAGGACTCCTTGTGCCTTGTGAAGGGGGACACAGAGAGTCCCTCGCTGCCTGCTGGCTCAACCCATTGCTTGCCTTTTCCCTCTCTGGACTTAGCTCCTACCTCACAGCCTCCACCCTGTAACCCAGGGTCTAATCAGCCAGGGATTCGAAGAAGTGAGGGGCAGCTCTACTGGGAGGAGGAAAATCCCTGGCTCTTCCAGAGGCCGACTGCCCAATTGCTGTCTCTTGGGTGTGTCAGGTGCAAAGAAGACGGTCATGTGTCGGGATCAGGGGCACAAAGGCCCCAGGCGTGTCAGAACTCCCAAGCACGGAGAGGCTGCAGGTGTGTGCTGGGGTTATAGGTGCTGAGATGCTTCGGGGACATTTAGGGTGGAGCCTCAAACGAGTGATAGGTCCTGGGACACTGAGGGCCAAGGGTGAGCACTGGGGCCGCAGGTGAATTTAGAACAAAAGCCCCAGGTGAGTGATAGGTCCCAGGGCAGTAGGGGATGCAGGTGTGTGCTGGGCCTCAGGTGTATTTAGGGTGAAGTCTCAGGTAAGTGACAGGCCTTGGGGCAGTGGGGGCCATGGCATATGGGATAGTGACAGCCCCCTCCCTGTCTCTACAGGAGACAAGCAGCCCAAGAAACAAGAGAAAAAGCCGGTGACGGTGTCCCCAGAGTTTGTGGATGAGGCTCTGTGTGCCTGCGAGGAGCACCTTAACAACGTGGCCCACGTGGACATTGACAAGGACATGGAGGCCCCGCTCTACCTGAGCCCTGAGGGCTGGTCCCACTTCCTCCAGCGCTACTATCAAGTGGTCCAGTGAGTACCTCTGCAGCCCTGGCCATGGGGCATGGCAGGTGCTCCTTGCTCTCGGGCAGCTTCCGTGTTCTGAGCTGATGCTCAGGGACAGACCCTCTCTGTCGAGTGCTGCCCCCATCTCTCTCCAAACCTCCCCGTTTTGTTCACCCCACTATTCTCCTTCTTCAGAACCCCCAAGAGCTCCCACTGCCTTCATAATAGGGTCCAAACTACTCTTCCCAGACCTTGACATAGCATAGTGACCAAGATCATGGCTGTGCTGTCAGATAGACCTGAGTCTGCCTTTGCCGCTTCCAAGCTCTGTGACCTTGGGAACATCACTAATCCTTATGAGCTTTGCTTTTCTCAAATGTAAAATTGGTTTAAAAATAATGTCTGCCTGAAAGGTAGGATTAGACAGGATAATCTGTATGATGTTCTCAGCACTGACTCTTAGTTTTCACTCACAAAGTAAGACTCTATTAAGTCATTTAGATTTTATCCTGCAGGCCAACGTTTCCCAAAGTGTACTACACAGGAGGCTAGTACTACAGGCTGTAAATAGAGTTTATGAAAAAGGGGCTTTTGTGGTCCATCACATTTGGAAAACATTGGGTTAAACAAAGTTAGTTAAAATAGGTTTCCTTGACGCAGGACTTTTCAGAACCTATGGGTGGTGTAAACTTCCAAGAGAGACAGCGTGTGCAGTATATCCTGTACTTAGGTGACCCCAGCCCCCCGCCCCAAGCATCCTGAGCGGTTGCGTTTGCAGAACACACTCCGGGAAAAGGTTCTTGAGCAGAGCAAAGGAGTATTGAGATGGACCTGGAGCTGTTGTAGAGAGACTCCGTTCAGCAGAGTGTGTGGGAGAGGCTGGACGGAGGAGGACCCTGAAGGCAGGAGCACACTCAGCATTTACCAAGCCCCTCCTGTGTGCCAGGAGTTGTGCCAGGCTCCAGAAATGAAACGAAGTCCCTGCCCTCAGGGGCACACAGCAGTAAGCTTGGCGGGGGGAGTGCCAGGGCCCTCAGCTGGCATGGTGTTAGAATAGAAAGGAACAGACAGATTTAATGATTGATGGAGACTGAAGAACTAATAAATGAACTTTGGACAAATGACTTACCAAGCAAACCCACATCGCTGATGAATAATTCATTTGTATCTTTTTTTAAACATTGGGAAACAAAAACTAGGTGACCCCATACTTTCCCCTCACCTGTCAGAAAACATGAAGCCACCCTTCTTAAATTAAGAATGATCAGGACTGAGTTAGAACAGTAGGTGGAAAGAATGTCAGTCCTCTGCATTTCCGGATGTGGGGCAAGTTGGGGGCTGGAGGAACCTCTCAAAAGTCAGGATTACATAAAATATTACATCATATAACATTGCCTTGAATTGTTCAGTACAGATCATTAGCTTTTATTAATTTATTCAGTATTTATCGCTGCTTCTCAACTTTTTAAAAAACAAATCCATGACGCACCAGCCAGGCTTTTTTTTTTTCCCCCCACTCCCCCCACCAACCAGGCTTTTATCAAGGTTCACTTTCCACAGAAACACTGTTTATTTTTTTGCTAAATATAAATCATATTGTCATGTTGAATACACTTTTTCAAGTTGCACGTGCCCCTGCCACCACCACGTGACACTTTCCTGGGCCAAATCACGGATTTGCTCAGCAGATTCTTTATGCCATGGCCACAGAAAAGTTTCCAGCAAACCTTGTGGAAATAGAAGAGCCAGGACTTACGTGTGAGTAAGAGGCCTTGCCAAGCCCCCTCCATCTGACTGTCCCCGTTCCTGGCACTGCCCAGCTGCTGCTGCTGCTCCTGCCTTAGCAACAGAGAGACAAGTTCTCCGTGGCTGGAGACATTCAAGAGGCTAAGATGTTAAAGAGACGTTACCATCTAGTGGAGGCTTCCTTCGTATTCATTCAGAAGAAAACAAATGGGAGAGTTTGGATGAGGCTACCATCTGGGGTATTTTGTGACTTGGTTTAGCTGAGGACATTCTGCGTCCTGTAGGGAACAGGTCCCTCTTTGTCCATGAACCCTTATCAGTACAACCCAGTTGCTGAGGCCAGCTCCCGCCAGAGGACTTACTTATCCAACCAGTCATTCAGTTAACAAACTTTCAGGGAGCGCCTAATAAGTGCTGGGTACTGCTTGGGGTTGGGACTACAGCAGAGAATAACAACTACAAAAAATATTCCTGCCCTCATAAAGCTTACGTTCCAGTGAGCGGAGACAGGCAATAACCAAATGGGTCTGGGTGTCAGGTGGTAAGTGATGGGAAGAGAAATAAATCGAGGAGATGTGTCATACAGATGTGCTAGAAAAGAATTAGACAAGGGGCTTCCCTGGTGGCGCAGTGGTTGAGAGTCCGCCTGCCGATGCAGGGGACACGGGTTCATGCCCCGGTCGGGGAAGATCCTACATGCCGCGGAGCGGCTAGGCCCGTGAGCCATGGCCGCTGGGCCTGCGCGTCCAGAACTTGTGCTCCGCAGTGGGACAGGGCACAGCAGTAAGAGGCCCACATACCGCAAAAAAAAAAAAAGAATTAGACTAGAAAGGGGCCACCTATCAACCAGTGTTAGGTTCTGATTAGGAGGGGAATGAACCCCCGCAAAGCACCTGTGGATGGAAGAATCAGGAAGAGTGGAGTTTGCATCCTGCCACTTAACTCAGTGTGTGGCCTTGGGCAAATCCCTCAACTCTCCAACCTTCAGTTTATACTTCTCTAAAATGGGACCAGTAACATCTCCCTGGAGATGGATTAGTGATAATATAGATAAAGCCCTTGGCACAGTGCCTGGCACATAGTGGTGCCTCATCATTTGATGCTGGTATGATTAAATTCTATCAAAGGCAGTTTTAATGTAATAGAAAGGGAGGTGGCAGAAGGTGGAGTGTTGGAGTGAGGGGGGTGCAGTAGGTAGAATGTCCCCATCCTCTCCCATTCCAGCAGTCTGGGACGGTGCCCTGGGCAGGGTGGATTTGGGGGCAGCCTGAGCGTGGGGCTGGAGGTTTGGGAGAGACCTATCTGGATCTCTAGGGGAAGGGCGTGACCAAAGCTGGTTGGACCATGGCCAGGGAGCTTTTGTCTCCCCTTGCCTTGTTCACCAGGATGCCCCCAGGCCCGGCCCTGCCCAAGTCCCATCATCTCCCCACAGCGAGGGGGCAGAACTCAGGTACCTCGACACTCAGGTCCAGCGCTGTGAGGACATCCTGCAGCAGCTGCGGGCCGTGGTGCCCCAGATGGACATGGAAGGAGATCGCAACATCTGGATCGTGAAGCCGGGAGCCAAGTCCCGTGGACGAGGTGGGGGTCAGCCCCTGCTTCCTGTACCAGCACCCTACACCCTCCCCAGCTAGAGGCCAGGGAAGTTAAATAGTACAGGTTCTGTTGGAGCCAAACTACCTAGGTTTGAATCCCAGCTCTGCTACTTACATGCTGTGTGACCTTGAACAAGTTATATCACTTCTCTGAACCTCAGTTCCCTTATCTGTTGAGGATTAAACAAGGTAGTACATCTACCACTCAGCATGGTGCCTGGCACAGTAGCCACCCCATCAATGTTGGCTGCTGTGATGATGATGCCAGCACCTTCTCTCCTGCCCTGAGGGTTTAGGTGAATGCTTTAGGCAGGTCTGGTGATACTCACATGCAGTTGCTTGTCATCTAAGGGCTCTCATATTTGACCAGTGCATCCTTGTGAGGGTATAGTACAGGGGTCAAGGGTATGGATGCTGGGAGCGAGACTTCCTGGATTCAAACCCCAGCTCTGCCTCCTAATATCCGTAAGACCTCGGGCAGGTTAGTTAACCTCTTCCGTGCCTCATTTTCATCATTGTTGAAATGAAGCCAATGATGCCTACCTGAGAGGATTACATGAGAATCATATATGGAAAGTGCTTAGATCCTGCGCTTTTACAGAGTACCTGCTATGTAATAACAGCTATTATTATTCTGACTGCTTAGCATGAATGGAATTTGAACAGGGCAGCCAGCAAGCTGGAGTGGTGCATTAGCCCAGCCTTTAAAAGATGGTTAACGACTTCCAAGATGTAAAAAACAGACTTCTGGCAGCAGATCGCTCCATGTACTGCCTGCCCTTGGGTGAATTTGTTCATGTCCAAGTGAAGCTGTCGCAGCTCCACACACTATGGGACACTCCTGTTGGGACGTCTTTTCAAAACCAGCATCATAGTCTTTTCTTTTTCTACCTTGGAAATAGTTTTGTTGGTTTTTTCCAAGTATGAAAATACGTATTTGTTATTTTTTTAAAAAAGATCAGACAGTACAGAAAAGTGGAAGGAAGCGAAGGCACCCTTGATTTCCCTGAGATAACTACAATTCACCTTGTGATGTGTTTCTTTCTGTACTTTCTTCTATGCATCTGGAGAGAGTGTGCATGTTTTATTTTATTTTAAATAAGAGCATACTATTTGGTAGCTTCCTTTTTTCATTTATTATATCTTTCCATATCAGTGAGTATTACTCATTTATTTTTTGCACCTTTCTTTTTTCTTAACAGTAGATCTTGGAGATCACTCCATTTTAGTACATCTAGATCTGCTTTTCTTCCCCGCCTGTTTTTAGCTTATTATTATAGACACTTTTCAAACATACACAAAAGCAGAGAGAATAATACAGTGAATCCCAAAGTATTTCAACATTTTCTCTCCATTTTTAGAAAAACTTAATTGAAATATGTATACAATATACTTCACTGAAAAGGGTATGCATTGTGAATATACAACTCAGTGAATTGTCACATAGTGAACACACTCGTGGAAACAGCACCCACATCATGAAATACAGCACCCTAGAGGGCCCCCTCCCATGCCATCTCCAGGTCTCTACCTCCCTGCAATGGGAACCCCTATGCTGACTTATAACACCATAGATTAGTGTTGCCTGTTTTTGAATTTTATATAAAAGTACAGTAGGTGCTTTCTTACCTCATTCTGTTTTACAGCTGCATAGTCTAATCTTGTTTAGATGTACTCTCGTGGTCTTACCTAATCCTTTTCTGATGGATATTTAGATGGCCACCATTTTTTTTTCCTGTTTATTTGATTATTGATTGATGAATTGCTATTACAAGCAACACTGTGATGAATATCCTGTGCAGATATCTTAGTAGCCTTTCCATTTATTTCCTTAGGATAAATTCCTAAAAGTGAAATTGCTGGGTCAGAGGTCATGAACAGCCTCAATCTTTGGCTATACAAGGCGTCATGTTATTGGGAATCTTAGTGATCATTCTGGCCATTTGAGAAAGGATCTGGCTTGGGAACCTGGCACAAGTTATTCTGTGCCATAGGCGGGCAATCAGACTGTTTGAGGGGCCAAACAATGAAGAAATGAGATTGATTTGTGTGTTTGTTTGCCTTGTGATTCTTACTGTAGACCCTTGGACAACGTGGGTTTGAACTGCGTGGGTCCACATATATGCGGATTTCTTTCGCTGTGTACATACTTCAGTACTACATGATCTGTTGTTGGTTGAATCCGTGGATGCGGAACCACGGATACAGGGGGCCTACTGTAAAGTTATTTGATAATTTTTGACTGCTCGGAGGGTTGGCGCTCCTAATCCCCGTGTTGTTCAAGGGTCAGCTGTATATATCAGCATTAAAATAACGCCTTTTTAGCATAAAATACTTAACTTCACTCATTATAAAACATAAAATTAAAATATCATTCTACCTAAGAGAATGGCAAAAATAAATCATCAACAGTGTTGATAGAATGTGGGCAAACACACAATCTCATACACTCTTACTGGGAGTGCAGATTGGTAGAACATCTTTGTTCTATAAAGTGAAAAAATGCACATACCCTTTGAGCCAGCAAATTTATAGCTAGAGATGTTTTCCACAGGTAACTAGTAATAATGATACGAGTTAACATTTACTGAATGCTCACCAAGTGCCAAGCGGTGTTGCAATTCCTTAGCATGTTTAAGTGCATAGAATCCTGTGAAACTGAGGCACACACAACTCTTCCATAACCTGGGAACCTATCCATAGGACCTGGAAGCAGCACTTGGCTGCCTCTGGGGAAGGAGGTGTATTTTTTTTCATTGTATACCCTTTTGTACTGCCTACTTTTCACTTCTGTTGTTTTATATTCCATTAGTTATTGTGAAAAACTAATCAAAGTCATTTATGCACATGGTTTTTAAAAAAGCCCAATACTGTTTGAATTGTTATCCGTGCATATATTCCTTTTCACCAAATAAAACTGGTTAATTTTTTTTTAAACTTTAAATCCTTAGTAGATTCTCAGCTTTCCCAAAGGGAACAGGGAGAAGGGGGCAGGCTCACCCATTTGGGCCTATCAGTCCTTTGGGGATGAGAGCTTATGATGAGCTATCCATCTCCCAGCCCAAGCCTGGCCTGATCCCTGACCACCGTTTCCCCCGAAGGCATCATGTGCATGGACCACCTAGAGGAGATGCTGAAGCTGGTGGATGGCAATCCTATGATGATGAAGGACGGCAAGTGGGTGGTGCAGAAGTATATTGAGCAGCCCCTGCTCATCTTTGGCACCAAGTTTGATCTGAGACAGTGGTTCCTGGTGACCGACTGGAACCCGCTTACTGTGTGGTTCTACCGCGACAGCTACATCCGCTTCTCCACACAGCCCTTCTCCTTGAAGAACCTGGACAAGTGAGCCTCCCCCAGAACCCTCACTCCCATGAGCTCCCAGTCTAGCTGGGGAGCTGGCAGGAAGCAGCGATTCCAAGGCAATGCGGGGCTCCAAACACACTCTGCAGGCAGGCAGGCCTCTATCCATCCAACACCTGTGTGTACCCTGTGCCGTTCAGTGTTCTAGGCACGTGGGACACAGCAGTGAACAAAACGAGCCCAGCCCTCAAGAGTTCATATTCCAACAGGGAGAAACAGACAAGCCATGAACATAATCAGTAAAATCATCTAATGGGTTAAAAGCGATACGTGTTATGGAAGAAAGGATGTAGAGCGGAGTAAAGGGGGATCAGGAGAAATGCGAGAGGAGAGAGGCAGGTTGCAGCGTTCATTTCGGGGGAGAGGAAGCCTGTTGAGCCCTCGGTTCAAATTCCGTCTCTGAAGCTTCCAAGCTCTGTGACTTGGGTCACGTGAAAACCTATCAGTATTTAAGCTTCCGTTGCCACATCTGAAGAATGGAGGCAGTAATATGGAGCTCATAGCTGTCGGCTACTGAGTGCTCTGTATGTGACGATTGCTAAGCACTTCATGTATGTTATCTCAGTCCTCCGTGAAAACCCGGTGAAGTGGTACTGTTACTTACCCCCATTTTACAGATGTTGAAAGGAGCCCATGGGTTAAATGACTTATGTAAGGTCTTACCAGTCAGCGATGAAGATAGAACTTGAACACGTGTCTTAGTGACCATGGGGCCCATACTCTTAACCACCTTCTTATCTTCCAGGCACTGGGAGGGTTAACTGACACTGTCACAAAGCACTTAACACTGTGGCGCCTGTGCCCTCAGAGAGGTCCTGAGTGAAGACTGGTAGTGGCCCTAGAAGAATGTGATGAGGCCTTTGTCACCTCAAGCTGAATGGTCCAGAGTGTGCCGGGCTGGTTCCGGGGTTTGCCTGCCCTCCCCACGTTTGGGTGGGAGGGGCACAGGGAGCCAGCCCTCAGCTTTCTGCTCTCTGTCCCAGCTCCGTGCACCTGTGCAACAACTCCATCCAGAAGCACCTGGAGAATTCGTGCCACCGACACCCACTGCTGCCCTCAGATAACATGTGGTCAAGCCAGAAGTTCCAGGCCCACCTGCAGGAGATGGGGGCCCCGAACGCCTGGTCCACCATCATCGTGCCTGGCATGAAGGCTGCGGTGATCCACGCCCTGCAGACCTCCCAGGACACCGTGCAGTGTCGGAAGGCCAGCTTCGAGCTCTATGGCGCTGACTTTGTGTTCGGTGAGGACTTCCAGCCCTGGCTGATCGAGATCAACGCCAGCCCCACCATGGCACCCTCCACGGCTGTCACCGCCCGGCTCTGTGCCGGCGTACAGGCCGACACCCTGCGCGTGGTCATCGACCAGCGGCTGGACCGCAGCTGTGACACGGGGGCCTTCGAGCTCATCTACAAACAGGTGAGGTGGCCAGGCCCAGGCAGCACCCAGGGAGGCCTTCCCATAGTGGAGCTCAGGGCTTTGCAGTCATATAAACCTGGCTCAAGTCCTGGTCCTGCCACAGTGACTGGGTACAGCCACTTCACCCCCTTGAGCCTCCATTTCCCCATCTGTAAGATGGACATGCTATAACCATCTTTCTCCTGGGGTTTGGGAGATGAAATGAGTTAACGTGTGGATAATATTTCTAGAGAGGCCAGTAGCATAGTGTTAAAAGCATAGACTCTGAAACCTCCCTGGGTTCAAATCCTGGCTCAAATTCCTAACCTCTAGGGGTCTCAGTTTCCTTATTTGTAGAGCGGGAATGAAAATGGTACCTACGTCATAAGATTGTGAAAATTAAATGAGCTGATACAGGTAAAGCATTTTAGAGGTGCCTGGCACATAGTAAATGCTACAGAGGTTTTAGCTATTGTTAGTACCTAGTAAGGTTGTTAGGAGTTTTATGATAAATGCCATCACTGTAAAGTGCCTCACATATAGTAAGAGCCAATTTGAGGAGGCTGCTATTATTACTGTTATGTTATTATTGTTGTTGTTATTATTTATTTTACCTCGTTCCAAAAAGGTTTGAATCCACTTATTGGAATAAGATTTTTAAAAGTCAGAAAACTGACTTCAAGTGTTTCTGAACGCTGCAAGTAATTTCCTGTGGTTATTAAATTAAGTATCCTAAACCTTCTGATTGGGATTAGGCTTCCATCAAAGTTTGGCCACAGGGAGAGAATGTGCTGATCGTATAACCCAAGTGTCCTGGTCTTTGTCAGTTACTGATTGTATCTTAATTTAATATATTGACATTTTGGCTTCAAAAACTGTAAATGAGGAAACATAAGGGCAGGAAAATAAGATGAAGCAAAGGGGAAGGGAAAGTTTTAACTTAGTGGTTCCCAAATGCTGATCACAGGCCAGAATCTCCCGGAAAGTTTTCCAAAGGTACTGTTGTCAGGAAGCCCCACCCCCAGAGGTTGACCCGAAATGACTGGTTTAGGGACTATGCATCTGTACTTTTCAAATATCCTAGTTTTTCCCAAAATCTCTTATAGCCAAGTCTTTTTGTTTTGGTTTTGTAAACCAACATGTAATCAAGATTCACGCTTTGCATTGGTTGTTTTGTCTCTTTCATTTCCTTTCTTTGCTTTTTTTTTTTTTTTTTTAAATAGGTACTCCCACTCAGAAAGGAGAGGCAGGGTGGGAAGTACATAGGAATCATTAGTCCATAGCAATTGTGAAACCCACCCTGGCACTTAATTCTCCTTTTGCTCTTAGGATCCATTATTACTTTCTAGGAGTTCCCTGTGTCTCTTGCTTCCATCCATTGGGAAGTCAGTTCAGCCTTGAGTCATCCTCCCTCTTCTGTGATCATGCTCGGTAGTTCTTAGTCTGTTACCTGCTCAAAGAATTTTGGGGGTACAGAAGCCTCTTCCATTTCATATTGCATCTGTCCCTTTCAGTCCAAGTTGATATTTTTAAAAGCCTTGTGGGTTTCTTGTATATCAATTTATAACCCATTTTATTACACAAAGGCCATGTCCACAGATCTTAGAGATAAACTCTTCTCTCTTCTATGAGGCTGATGTAGGACAACAGCCCTCAAAATTATAGAAGCCCTACTGTTAACAGAGAGGGCCTGCAACCCTGTCTTTTAACTCAAAATGTGTTAAAGACTTAATCATAAGACCTACAGGTATACACTTGGGATGCTGAAAAGACCTGCAGCTGCTTTAAAGGACCTATTAGGCATGGCTTAGATTTCTCTGAAGTTTGTTTTGTTTTGTTTTGTTTTTAGATATCATTGACGTACAACATGGTTAGCTTCAGATGTACAACATAATATTTGTATATATTGTGAAATGATCACCAGTAAGTCTAGTTGACATCTATCACCACAGTTACAAATTTTTTTTCCTTGCATTCACTTTCTCAGCAACTTTCAAGTATGCAGTACAGCATTATTAACTATACTCACCATTCTGTACCTTACATGACTTATTTATTTTGTAACTGAAAGTTTGTAACTTTTTATCCCCTTCACCCACTTTGCCCACCCACCAACTATCTTTCTCTGTATCAGTGAGTTCAGTTTGTTTTTGATTTTAGATTCCACATATAATTGAAATTATATGGTGTTTGTCTTTCTCTGTCTGACTTATTTCACTTAGCATAATGCCCTCAAGGTCTATCCACATTGCCACAAATGGCAAGATTTTCTTCTTTTTATTTATCTATTTTTTGGGGCCATGCCATGCTGCATGTGGGATCTTAGTTCCCTGACCAGGGGTAGAACCCATGCTCCCTTGCAGTGGTAGCACAGAGCCTTAAACCACTGGACCACCAGGGAACTCCTGAGATTTTCTTCTTTTTAATGGCTGAGTAATATTCCATTGTATATTTATATATACCACATTTTCGTTGTCTACTCATCCATGAGTGGATGCTTACGTTGCTTCCATGTGTTGGTTATTGTAAATAATGCTGCCATGAACATGGGCTTGCAGATATCTTTTCGAGTTAGTGTTTTCATTTCCTTCAGGTAAACACCCAGAAGTGGAATTGCTGGATCATATGGTAGTTTTATGTTTAACTTTTCAAGAAATCTCCATACTGTTTTCCATAGTGCCTGTAGGGATTTACATTCCCACCAACCACGCACAAGGGTTCCCTTTTCCTTACATCCTCGCCAACACTTGTAATTTTTTGTCTTTCGGATGATAGCCATTCTAACAGGTGTAAGATGATATCTCACTGTGGCTTTGATTTGCATTTCCCTGATGATTAGTGATGTTGAGCACATACTCATGTACCTGTTGGCCATCTGTATGTCTTCTAAAAAATGTCTATTCAGATCCTTTGCCCATTTTCTAATCAGATTGTCTTCATATATTTTGGGGACTTCCCTTGTGGTCCAGTGGATAAGACTCCGTGCTTCCACTGCAGGGGGCGTGGGTTAGATGCCTGGTCGGGGAACTAAGAACCCGCATGCCACATAGTGCAGCCCAAAAAAAAAAAAAAAAAGAAGATTGTGTTTGTATGTTTGGATATAAACCTCTTACAAATGATTTACAAACATTTTCTCCCATTTGGTAGTTTGTCTTTTTTTTTTAATTTTTTATTTATTTTTTTATACAGCAGATTCTTATTAGTTATCCATTTTATACATATTAGTGTATACATGTCAATCCCAATCTCCCAGTTCATCCCACCGCCACCACCCCCCTGCCACCGCTTCCCCCTCTTGGTGTCCATACGTTTGTTCTCTACATCTCCATCTCAATTTCTGCCCTGCAAACCAGTTCATCTGTACCATTTTTCTAGGTTCCACATGTATGCATTAATATACGATATTTGTTTTTCTCTTTCTGATTTATCTCACTCTGTATGACAGTCTCTAGATCCATCCACGTCTCTACAAATGACCCAATTTCATTCCTTTTTATGGCTGAGTACTATTCCATTGTGTATGTGTACCACATCTTCAACAGACCATTCGTCTGTCGATGGGCATTTAGGTTGCTTCCATGACCTGGCTGTTGTAAATAGTGCTGCAATGAACACTGGGGTGCATGTGTCTTTTTGAATTATGGTTTTCTCTGGGTATATGCACAGTAGTGGGATTGCTGGGTCATATGGTAATTCTATTTTTAGTTTTTCAAGGAACCTCCATACTGTTCTCCATAGGGGCTGTATCAATTTACATTCCCACCAACAGTGCAGGAAGGTTCCCTTTTCTCCACACCCTCTCCAGCGTTTGTTGTTTGTAGATTTTCTGATGATGCCCATTCTAACTGGTGTGAGGTGATAACCTCATTGTAGTTTTGATTTGAATTGCTCCAATAATTAGTGATGTTGAGCACGTTTTCAAGTGCTTCTTGGCCATCTGTATGTCTTCCTTAGAGAAATGTCTATTTAGGTCTAATGCCCATTTTTGGATTGGGGTTTTCGTTTTTTGAATATTGAGCTGCAGGAGTTGCTTATATATTTTGGAGATTAATCCTTTGTCCGTTGATTTGTTCGCAAATATTTTCTCCCGTTCTGAGGGTTGTCTTTTCGTCTTGTTTGTAGTTTCCTTTGCTGTGCAAAAGCTTTCAAGTTTCATTAGGTCCCATTTGTTTAATTGTGCTTTTATTTCCATTACTCTAGGAGGTGGATCAAAAAAGATCTTGCTGTGATTTATGTCAAAGAGTGTTCTTCCTATGTTTTCCTCTAAGAGTTTTATAGTGTCCAGTCTTACACTTAGGTCTCTAATCCATTTTGAGTTTATTTTTGTGTATGGTGTCAGGGAGTGTTCTAATTTCATTCTTTCACATGTAGCTGTCCAGTTTTCTCAGCACCACTTATTGAAGAGAACTGTCTTTTCTCCATTGTATATCCTTGCCTCCTTTGTCATAGATTAGTTGACCATAGGTGCGTGGGTTTATCTCTGGGCTTTCTATCCTGTTCCATTGATCTGTATTTCTGTTTTTGTGCCAGTACCATATTGTCTTGATTACTGTAGCTATGTAGTACAGTCTGAAGTCAGGGAGTCTGATTCCTCCAGCTCTGTATTTTTCCCTCAAGACTGCTTTGGCTATTTGGGGTCTTTTGTGTCTCCATACAAATTTTAAGAGTTTTTGTTCTAGTTCTGTAAAAAATGCCATTGGTAATTTGATAGAGATTGCATTGAATCTGTAGATTGCTTTGGGTAGTATAGTCATTTTCACAATATTGATTCTTCCAATCCAAGAACATGGTATATCTCTCCATCTGTTTGTATCGTTTTGAATTTCTTTCATCACTGTCTTATAGTTTTCTGCATACAGGTCTTTTGTCTCCCTAGGTAGGTTTATTCCTAGGTATTTTATTCTTTTTGTTGCAGTGGTAAATGGGAGTGTTTCCTTAATTTCTCTTTCAGATTTTTCATCATTAGTGTATAGGAATGCAAGAGATTTCTGTGCATTAATTTTGTATCCTGCAACCTTACC